CCTAGATAAGCTTTACCTGTTTGTTAGAATCTGAAGATTCACCTTCATCCTCTGAGGGTTTCACTGGGACACTGTTAACCTGTCCTTGTGCCTCCTTCTTCTGTTTAAAAGGAGAACAAACATGCTCAGGCAAGTGTTGGCACTTTGTGTTACTTGCTGATCTGACACTAGGTGGCCTCAGCCTCTTCAGCTGAAACTGAAGAGCAGGACCCAGAACTGCACCCAAGACTGATGGGGAATTTTCAGCCCTTAGAACAGTGTTACAGGAAAGCGGTACTGCCAAGGGGAAGACTCCATTGGTCTTCACACCTTGATGACTGTAGCAGAGGGTGTTGCTACAATCAGAGAGCTTGCTGAAGGCAGAGAGGCAAAGTGAGTTACTGCCATGGTTGAGCCTAGGCTAATTTAATTTCGAAGCACACCACCTGCTCCAGTCTGGTGGTCCAGACATTGCAAAGGAACAAGTCCGAGCCGTTTTAATCATCACTGCTACCCGAGCTACACGCAGGCCAGCGGAGGAGATGACCTAGGTGGTACCTGTAGGCACCAGACATCGCTCTCACCTGGTCAATTTCCAGCTGCAGCCTTTCTGCTTCCTCATCTGTAAGTTCCTTAATCCTTGGCTCATTTGTTTCTTGCTTTTCTTTAGCAAGTTTCGCAGCTCTCTCTGCCTTTTCACGCCGCTCTGCCTCTTGACGAGCCTTTTTCTCTTTCCGCTCCTTCTGAGCTAGTTTGTTGTGATGGTTGAAGGTATCTGTGATCAGCTGAAAGACAGGAACACAGATCAAAAGGTTTTAAAAAATCACCACTTTTTCAAACCCAAATGAAGCAAACTCACTGTCTACTGAGGAGCATGAGAACATTGGTTAGTCACACAGACGTTGTGACTTTTCCCTTCACTTTCACTCTAGCCTTTTGACTGAATATCTAGAGTAGGAGAAAACTCAAAACATTTAAACGTAGCCCTTCCTACTTCTTCCTTACACAGGGAGTGTATTTCCATGGAGATAACAGAGGAATACAAATTCTCCATTTGTTTTGGCCTTTGTGCAATTCCGGCAGGACAAGCAGATGCCTAACCCAGCCATTTGACAGCTACTCTGTACATCTAGGACAGCTGGAAGAACAAAGACACTGGATCCAAGTTTTTTTACCTACTTCTGACTTTTCCCACAACTGAGCTTTTACCCAGGCACTAGATGGAGATTCAGTGTCATGATTTATGTTTGAAAAGCTCAGCGTTTTACACTTAGGGGCAAGCTCCTACATAAATCTTTGCTTCAAATCTCACTCCAAATTCTCACGTTGTTGTGACTACAAAAAGCAAAATCTCAAGGTCTTTGATGCAAACGGCTGTACTGCTCAGAGGGAAAGCTGAGTACACAGGCAGGAAGCCAGAGCAATTGCTCCGTGGTCGATAACACCAGCAGCGCTGTGCAAAGCAGCACGTATGAGAACTGTAGTCTGCTCCAGAAAACAAAATAGACAGAATCTGAGAAAAGGAATCAGAGTGGAGAAATTTCTCAGACAGGGGTTTATGTACTGGTTTATATAAATCCCAGAAACTTCTGGAGGGATTCAGCACCTTTTCAGAGCAGCTCAAAGCATCCACACCTTGTAGTTTTGTAACCAACCACCAAGTATTTCTGCTTTGTTTTGAAGGGGAAAGCAAGATTTATTTACACAACGCAAGTCCAGTGTCTCCTAGGATACAGAATTCAAGACATGCATCTCCCAGCTTCTGTTCCTAACTGCACGATGATCCATGGTGAGCAAACTATTTACATTGCCCGAGCTTGTCCATGTGCACACACTGCACTTCTCTCAATGTACCACCACACCCCCCTCACTCTACACCACAAGGGATTCTGAAATGGCACTCCATGAAAGACAATGACTTTCCCACCCTCTCCTCTTTCTCTTTCATGCCAAAGGGTGAGCAGGACTGGGGAAGCAGCTTCTTCAATTTTTGTTGTGGTTACTATGGTGTCAGAGACTCTGTATTGAGCACCTTTTCAGAAGGCCATAAAGCATTTTAACAGATACCACCCAAGGACACGAACGCTTTTATTTTACAGGCACAGACATGGATTTGCTACGGAACTGCCAACAACAGTAGCCAGAACCTCCAAAAGCACCAGCCAGTGCTCATCTCTGAAACACCACTCAGGGTTTCACTCCCTGGGAGCACAGAGTCCCCAGGAATCTGGAGAGATTTGCTCTCTAGTCTAAGAAAAATGGAAGTAGGCTTCATCTTTCTCACTTTGAAACCACCCTCTTTCCCATCCCTTACCTGCCTTAGTTTTGCCGCTTTAGAGACTAGACAGAGTACGTTATACACTGTGTTAGCAATTAACATCTGCCCTAACACATTCAACACAGCAGCAGTGCCTGCTTTGCTGGTGGAGTTCCAGTAGTCCAGGAAGGGAAACAGTTGCTATGCTGGTAAGTACAAGCAAGAAATCTTCAGAAAGTCTGGCCAGTTCGCATTTGAATGTTCTGGTTATCTCCCTACAGTGAAACAATTCAGTTTTTCAGCTCTCGAGCTGGGTGAGGAATACCTGCTGGATAGGAGATGCTCAGGCTGCCAACAAGGCCACCCGGACCCCAGGCTTGCTCCCCAGCACACTTGCTCTGTGCAGGCACCGCAACCCGGAGACAAAGGTGCAGCTGCATGTGCAGAGATGTGTGGACTTTGTGCTTTTTCTGAGATGAACAAATAAGGTAACCTGGGGTTATCAACACTGCGGTGTCTGTCACCGTTAAGTCAGTGTGTCTGGCAGATTTGCTTTCCAAACAAGCCTTTGGCCAGAGTGTGGCAAAAAAACCCGCACCGTCGGTACCATTCGAACAAGCAATCGTGTGTGCCTCACCTCAAATAGCGGCAATTCATTATTACCTTGCTTCAGTGATGAATTTCATCAGCATCACAGGCTGATGAAGTGCAGTCCCCAAGTGTACCGTAGTGCTTTGAGTTGTTCAGGCAGGGAAGTGTTAGTATGGCACAGACATGGGTGGTATGTAAGTTAGAAGACATAAAAGCTTGGGGATTTGGTTTTTTACCTTCTCTGCTACTCCATCTTCTCCACCGGTGAAGAAATCTGTTTTACGCCTCAGGAAACTAAAGAATGTGTTCACAAGCTGGCAGAGGAAACAGGGAGGGGGGTGGGAGAAAGGGGTGGAGAGAAAAAAAGAGCAGTGAGACCAGATCACTCCAAGCTGCCTCGTGTCTCTTGAGTAGCCTTTATTCTTTGTACTCCCTATCTGCATCTGTGCCAGGATCATCCTGAAATCAGCCCCATGACCGTTTCCCAGAGAACATGTCCAGTGGCTTTTGTGGAGTTCCAGCTCCTCGATTCCCAGTTTTCAGAAGAGGCAGTTGTGTGGTTTACATAAAGAAAGGGCAAGCAGCTTATTCTCAGGTCACCTTGGAGGTACACCTACTCCGATACCCCAAGCTGTTATCTGAGGCAGGAATTTGGGTGGGTATGTATGTATATGTGCATATATACATGTGCATATATAGATATACACATACACTGTATTTTGCTTCTTTGCACACCTAAACCCTCAAAGTGTGCAAACTCACCTTCCCTCATCTCCTGTTTATTTTTACAAAATAACTACTAGCTGTCTGCCAGGTATCACTGATGAATTAGGAGTTATGAACTGGCCTCCCCAAGCACCCCTGTGGAAATCCATACTCTCAGCGGGTCTTTTATTTCTCAGGTGTTCTGTCCTGTCAGTATTTCAATCAGCGGTTTCACTACAGCATGTGGAACGGTTATTAGGACTGTTTCCCCAAACCATTTGTGAGCGGGATGTTCCCACACTCTCCAGTCCTCCCACAGGTCAGTACCTGGACTCCCAGAACCCCCAGCAAGAGTCAGCATGGCGGGAAGCGTGAGGTGTGGCAGCAGAGCTTCCACCACGAGGAAGGAAACCACGTTTCCCGTTCAAGTTGGTCGAATCTAAACCCATCAGGTTTCAGGGGACCCGCTACCACCTGGTTGTGCTGGGAAAGTGGGACAGAAGGACTCGATCCTCCCCGGTGGTCTTTTGCTTTGCTGTGACCCCGAACGGGCGCTGCCCGCACACACCAAAACCTCCGTGACCGACGTGGGAAGCCCGGAGGCGGCAGGAGCCGCGGTGCAAGGCCGCACGGTCAGGGCGCAGACCTGAGCTCCGCAGCCCCTCGTTAGCATCACACTAATTAATTAACGGGTTCTCCGCGCTCCCCGGGGCTGGCGCGGGCCTGGGCCGTTATCGGGGGGGTGGGAACGGGGACGGACATGCCGCATGTGCACCGCCCGGGGAGGGCCGGGGCCGCCCCAACTCCTCCCGGCCCCAGCCGCCCCCCCCCCAC